GTCTCTCTCTCTCTCTGTCTCTCTCTCTGTCTCTCTCTGTCTCTCTCTCTCTCTCTTTCTCTCTCTCTCTCTCGCTCTCTCTCTCTCTCTCTCTCTCTCTCGCTCTCTGTCTGTCTGTCTGTCTGTCTGCCTGCCTGTCTGTCTGTTTGTCTCTCTCTCTCTCTCTCTCTCTCTCTCTCTCTCTCTCTCTCTCTCTCTCTCTCACTCTTTCTTTATTTTTTTTCCCTCGATCCCTCTTTCTCTTTCTCTTCCCTTTCCCAGGCGTGTGAAAGTCGCCAGTATGCACCGTGTGAATCTAGCATTGTGAACACATCCTGGGCGCTGTTGGCACTCATGGCTGCTAAGTAAGTGTCGCATCTGACCTGAACCAGCAACAATGCTTATTGTAGGCCTTTGCTGGGATTTTGCTTTCCACACTTCAATGGGTCATTCTTGTGCTTGAGGTTTCTGACCTGCCAGTGTTGGCTGACTCTTGAGCACTATTGCCCATAGAGGAATAGCTACTGTGTACTGTGACTTCAAGCCAAGCCATACCGGAGATGCAGCCGGGCTTATGCAGCCCCTCATCTCGCCCCTGTGTCTCTCTCCATCTCTTTGTCATGCCTTTCCTGTGTCACCGCAGAATGGTATGTAAACATATACCCGGTTGCGGACTTAGAAATCTGTTGAGCGAAAAAAGCGCCCACGCTCGGGGTGGTCGTGCAGCCGTGAGCAGTGCCGATCCATTTTACAGTGCGTGTACACCCTAAGCATGTAAGGGCTCTGGCCTAGGTCAGTCCGCTGGATTTCTATGTCCACTATAGCAGCCATTGCAGGCTAAATTTTATTTTTCAAGGAAACCCTTCGGAAATGGTACTAATCGATTCAGCAGGGCATTTTCATTCCTCCTGCAAAGTTTCAGCTGATTTGGAGTCATGACAAGGACGCTATGGCGATTTGAAGATCGAAATTCTTCGATTTTGTTTTTCAAGATTGCGATGATCGCACACAAATGATACAACCCGTGTTGCACAATGATTTTTGAACGAGGTTGATCCGTGGACCCCGTGCTTTGTGCATGCATGCATGCATACTGCACGGTACAGAGGCTTTTTTGAACGCAGATATGTAGTTCCTCATCTTCTTCGAAATGTCTTCCAAATGCGTGGTGCTGGTGTTGTTCTCTTCATCGAGGCAGAATGCAGCTGCATGTGATGCTCCTGTATGTTCCTGCATGTTCTCTTTTCGCGTCTCGATATTGTAGCGTCCAGACTCAGCTCGACTGGAGAAGATTCAGGAGACTATGCTTTGATCCGTATGGAAAATCGATGAAATTTGGTAATTATCGTCGGGCGCTAAAAATCGCTGGGGAGCATGGGGCTAAAACTTCGTACCAGTCATCCCTACCATGACAGGCATCGACTGGTATATATTCCATTCTGTTCCCTTTCACGACGGGTCATCTGCGAAGCTTTCTTCTTCGCAGGTTCTTGGACAGATCGTACATCTTCGCACTGTATCTCTCGTCTCCCTCAACGGATCAAAACACGGTTTTCGCCAGGACGAACACGAAACCCCAGACTTCGCGGCGGCAACATCTTCGAGTAGGGGAAAGCTAGCAGCTAACCAGGAATCACCAACAAACACGTGTAATACTCAGTGTGATTTGCGACAGCTGTCATTGTGCCGTCGCACCATGCATGTACCATGCGCGGGAATGGAACACGGACGAGTCGTTTTATTACGACGGCCTGCACTGGCTAACAATAGGGCCATTGCGAAATGACGTAATTTGTAACGCCAACACCCCACACAGCACAGCCACCTGAGCATGGTCGTGTGGGGTGTTGAACAGCGCATTGCTGATCCCAGTGTACTCACATGCATTACTCATACCTTCCATATTTGGCAATGTGAAGTAGGCTTATAGTGCAGTCAGACCTTGCTTAGAACCGCAGACATCTGTTTTCCCCCAAAACATATTCGGATAGGCAAGGGAATCGGATAATCGAACACACGTAATATTATATGTGTGCATGACGTCCGCTGTAAATCTGTAACCAACGAATTTCTTCCGGATGACGAAGGATCCGCGTAAAAGTGGACCAGTTAAGCGAGGTCTGACTGTGGTAGTTGTAACCTTTGCTGCATGTCCACTGTCACCCAATCCACTGTCATCCAATCCACTGTCATCCAATCCACTGTCTGCAGATACGAAGACATCGACTTGCTCAAAGCAGGTGTCCAGGTGAGTACCATTAAGGTTTCAAACGAAATTACGGTGGAACAAAAGTGATTAAATATCTCTACTCACGAGTTTCATGCTGAAAATCAATCATCAGGACGCTGGGGCTATACCAGTCATTCGTCATTCTGTTTCTGTTTTGTTGTCCTTGCGTGTGGAATGCTCTCCATGCCGTGCTCTGGGTTGTGTGATAATAGGTCAGTTAGACGTGCACTGCTTGATACTCTGACAGAGAGTGAGTTAGCTAACCTGAGGTTCTTATGACTGATACATTTCCTAGCGGCATGGACGACGATAGCAAGGCAGATGAAAGAAGGACAGTGACAAACCAGAGAGCTGTAGTGTGTGCATGGGCAACATGACTTTTTTCTTGGCTCGCTGCTGACGGTGAAATGAACTGGCACATTGAGACGTGAAAACTGCACATGCTCAGTCATTCTTAGTCTAATCATCCGAAAGTGGCATCCTACCTTTTTGATCCCTCCCTCGTATATCGTGAAAACAAAAGTACACCCTGTATTGTCTGACCCGTGCAATTATCCCGTACCACATTTCAGGCCAGGAATAGGTAATCAGAAATTCAGCAAGGTTTGTTCTAAAGTAGCCCAGGGATAGTGCAGGGAAAGAAGATCCAACTCACAGATGTCCAATATGTCCGTCTTTATTTGGATTACTGCGCTGCTCAATGAGATCCGGTCGCGTGAGTCAACTACACGCCGGGCAGCGCTGTGCACCCGTAGACCCGCAAACCCTGGGATGTGAACTGACGTAGGAACAAGACTTGACGCACACGATCGGATTGCTTTGAGCAGCACTGTACTTTCCTGTGTAGTTTTATGTTTGTTTTTATGTTTGTTTTTAAGTTTGTTTTTATGTTTGTTTTTATGTTTGTTTTTATGTTTGTTTTTATGTTTGTTTTTGTGTTTCTATGTCGTAGCTACTACTCTCTCGCCAGCTGGAGAATGGTGATTGGCCAGAGGTGAGGGATTTTCCCGTATGTTCAGTTGTTTGTTTTCTCTGATTGCCACAATGCGACGAGAGATCCGATGTGGGATAAAACGAGAGGATGAATGAATGACCTATGGGTATGTTTGTGTTTTTAAGGAGAGGGGGAATGGGGGGGGGATCCTTACATCTAAGTCTAATATAATGCTGGCAACTGAAATCCGACCCCCCCCCCCCCCTAGCTGTGCGCTAGCCGCGTTAGCGATTCGTACGAGACGCTAGGGGAGAGGGGGGGGGGGGGTCGGATTTCAGTTGCCAGTACTGTATATGTACATGACCCTGTGTGGGAAAGATTCTCGGTGTTCACGATCTATTCACGAGATAATTGATCTCCGGTTTCGCCAACATGTTATTGGATCGTCATCCCGTTTGAATGTGCAAAGTATAATAAAAACCAACAAGAACAACACCAGCAGCAACAACAACAACAACAACAACAACAACAACAACAACAACAACAACAACAACAAATTTCTCTTATTGGCCACAGGCCATCGTGAGAATAAAAGATTTCAAACAACAACAACAACAACAACAACAACAACAACAACAACAACAACAACAACAACAACAACAACAACAACAACAGCAGCAGCAGCAGCATCAACAACAACAACAACAACAACAACAACAACAACAACAACAACAACAACAACAACAACAACAACAACAACAACAACAACAGCAGCAGCAGCAGCAGCAGCAGCAGCAGCAGCATCAACAACAACAACAACAACAACAACAACAACAACAACAACAACAACAACAACAACAACAACAACAACAACAACAACAACCACAACAGCAGCAGCAGCAGCAGCAGCAGCAGCAGCAGCATCAACAACAACAACAACAACAACAACAACAACAACAACAACAACAACAACAACAACAACACCAACAACAACAACAACAACAACAACAACAACAACAACAACAACAACAACAACAACAACAACAACAACAACAACACATTTCTCTTATTGGCCACAGGCCATCGTGAGAATAAAAGATTTCAAACAACAACAACAACAACAACAACAACAACAACAACAACAACAACAACAACAACAACAACAACAACAACAACAACAACAACAACAACAACAACAACAACAACAACAACAACAACTACAACAGCAGCAGCAGCAGCAGCAGCAGCATCAACAACAACAACAACAACAACAACAACAACAACAACAACAACAACAACAACAACAACAACAACAACAACAACAACAACAACAACAACAACAACAACAACAACAACAACAACAACAACAACAACAACAGCAACAGCAACAGCAACAGCAACAGCAACAGCAACAGCAACAGCAGCAGCAGCAGCAGCAGCAGCAGCAGCAGCAGCATCAACAACAACAACAACAACAACAACAACAACAACAACAACAACAACAACAACAACAACAACAACAACAACAACAACAACAACAACAGCAACAGCAACAGCAACAGCAACAGCAACAGCAACAGCAACAGCAACAGCAACAGCAACAGCAGCAGCAGCAGCAGCAGCAGCAGCAGCAGCAGCAGCAGCATCAACAACAACAACAACAACAACAACAACAACAACAACAACAACAACAACAACAACAACAACAACAACAACAACAACAACAACAACAACATGCAGTTGACAAACCGGAAGGAGATGAGTAGATCAGACCTCCATAGAGTTGTGAAAAGATCGAAAATCCCACTGGCTGCATCCAATAAGCTCAAATTCAACTCAAACATGGCCGGAATGGGATTTGAACCAGCATACCTGCACAATCATCGGTACTAAATCTGCCCGATACTCTCAAAATCTGGCTGAAAACACCTACGTCATGGTCCACCTTCTGGAAAAACATACATCAAAGCACAGCTGGAAGATCACTCCATCCTGATATTGGTTGCTTGGTGCTTGACCCTCTCTTCTCACCCTGCAGGAATCGATCAAGGGTGTCTTCAACAAGACCTGCGCCATCCAGTACGCCAGCTACAAGAACGTTTTCCCCATCTGGGCGCTGGGCAGGTTCCGCCGCTTGTTCCCCGGCGTCAGCGTGTAACCATGACGATCAGGTCGCGACACGGTCGGTGGGAAGATCGCATGCATCTCAGGATGCTAACGAGATCTGTTGTAGGAATGTTCAATTTTTTTAAAGTATAATCACTTCGAACACAGTGGTGCGCTTATGGTATTGTCTCAATCTTAGCTCACTATTCACAGTTCGGGGGAATCCCCTGCTAGTCAGCAATGCGGCGCGGTTTATGCTCCGTTGACTCTATGTACTTTTGAAGGACTTTGAAAATTTATATTTTTTGTATTATTTATAATAATATACACTGTATTTTTGTAGCATTACTATGGGTTACATTAGGATCTACATTAGGATGTAGGCAACGTGGTCAGAGTACTCGGATGACGCGAAGGCTGATCGTAGTGCACAGTACACTTTCTGTGCATTATCATCATGGTACCGATAGGTGGTAGGGTAGGTGTGCGGGGAAGTTTAGCAGCATGTTTAGTTTGTTTAAAAAAATTTATCCTGTCAGTCGTATTTTACCGGGTGTTATAGCGACCGGCGTGAGTTCCCTTCGGGAACGGACACGATAATTACTTTTTTTCTTTCTTTTTATATCGGTCGTATCTGTCGCAACTATGGCAATTTTATCTTGCGTATTTCAAAATTTTCTAAGGATTATCCATATAATTATCTGCTCATTCATTAGCAGTTGCTAGATCGCCACCAGGTGAAGTTGTTCATGGTTATGGAGATGATGTCATGGCAAACGTGTGGTTATTAGGCTTGTCCACAAAATGTTTTCAAATATTTTTGAATTTTGGTTGGATTTTCGCACTTTGAATTTTTTTGGAATTTTGGCCCCATCAGGATTGAATTTTGGCCGTTTTTGGAGAACGACAGTGATGTCACATCAGGAGAGTACATGTGCTGCTCAATACATGTATATTACCAAGTTTGACATGTGAAAACAGTACTTTCAAACACACACACCTTTGACCTTCGACCTTTTGACACCCATCCCCGAATTTGGAAGCACACAGACACACATGATAAGCAGTTTGTGGATTTTTTGTTTTTTTGGAACTATTGGGTACGAGTACTGTAAAAACCATGGCAACGGATCGAATTTTTTCTGCATTTTGGGGGATTTTTTGAATTTTCTTAAAACATTTTGACCGTTTTTTTCGCTTTTTGAATTTCAATTTTGGACAAAATAATTCGCATGATGTGCCCACCCTTAGTGGTTATGGAGATGATGTCATGGCAAACGTGCGTGTTACGTCACAGTTAGGCCTGTCCACAGAATGTTTTCAATTTTTGGGGAATTTTGGTACGACCGGAATTGAGATTTGGTTATTTTCATAGCCAAACGAGAGAGCTTGGAAGCTCAGGGCCCTACGCTATGCGTTTATGCTTTTTTGCCTAGCTCATCGTACATGTTCTAAGAACTGATGGAAAATTAATGTCTTTTTCCGTTGATTGGCCACATCACTGTATTGCAAAAACGTTTCAATCGGTTCGAATATTATGCGAAAATTAGTTGATTTTAATACAGTAATCGGATTTTCTGGCCTTTTTGTACTAATACAGGCAGGCACAGTGGGTTGGTCAAAGACCATGATCGAGATACGAGAGGTACCTGGTTCAAGTCCTGCCTGGGAGCGGTTTTTCCAGCCGTGCTGCTACCCACAGTCAACTGGGAACTTGTGGCCAGGCACAAGGGGTACATGGATGCAGCTAATGGGGTCGTTTTCGGCACTTGTGCCAGTGGTTGTGAGACTTGCCCACTCACCCCCACCTTTAGGCGCTGCATCTGCCGCTAGGGTTTATTGGGTGTTAGCGGCCGTCGTGAGTTGCCTTCGGGAACGGATACGATAATTTACTTTTACTTACATGTACATTGACCTGTTGAGCCAATGACGACGCCGAATGCATGGTTGCCTGTGGAGCACATTACATAACTTTACAGTCTCCTAAAATACGTATCCTGTCCGACGGCAAAAGGGGCTGCAGATTTAGTTTTTCTGCGCGTTGACGGGATGTCTGCGACGCGAAAGTTCAGCTCGCGTTATTTGGCTCGCACGTCGAAAAATCAACGCGAGTGACCTGCTGCTCACGTCGAAATTTGGACATTACATAACTTTACAGTCTCCTAAAATACGTATCCTGTCCGACGGCAAAAGAGACTGCAGATTTAGTTTTTCTGCGCGTCGACAGGATGTCTGTCCTGACGTTTACTGGGACCGGCTTCGACTCTGCCGATCACGGGCGTTCTGGACTCAACGGGATGTCTGTCCTGACGTTGCCTGGGACCGGCGGACTCTGCTGATCACTGGCGTTCTGGAGTCGACGGGATCTCTCTTCCGACGTTTCCTGTGACCGGCGCTGAATCGCTCGTTCACACTTATTTTGGAGACGACGGAATCTCTCTTCCAAAGTATGTTTATGCGGCCGCATCCTATCACCTATTCGGCGTCTATTCTAATTTAATTTCCTCTTCGTCTCCCTATTTCTTTCCAAATCTCCCTCTACATCAGGGAGTCGTATACATAATACGACGAATATTGGTACGGTACGGGACAGATACAGGAGCCTGAAAATATTGTGGACAGCTGTTATGTACAATCCTGTAGAGCCTTTGTAGTCACAGATACGGGACAGATACGGGACAGATACGGGATAGCTCCAGCCGTGACACAAACAAACAAACAAACAAACACCAAATTAAAGCTGTGTGGACCCTGGCTAGCGCCAGACGTTACTGAAGTAACGTCTTCTGCAAAGCTACGGGAATAATGCGAATTACAGTATTCTCTCTTCACATTGGCCGGTGTTTCGACTGAGTCTTGAGATGTTACAATAAACAAAACACTAATTTCATGTGCATAATTGTGCATGTACCTGTTGCATGTACATTTAATATTATAGACAACACCGTGTTGTCTATAATATTGATAATGTACATGCAACAGATGCATGAACACCTCATAGCATGAAAAGAAAATCAGCCAGTACGGGAGATGTGGGTGTTAACCAACCACGGTGAATACGTGCCATTAAAGAAGAAAAGTGATGGTCCAGACCGAGAAGCATGGGAGGGACAGGTGATGGTGAATCTAGTGAGCAGATTTAAATGCGTCCAGGGTACTGGCAATGCGCGTAGTAGCGGGCAGCGCAAGCCAAGCAGAGTAGGCAACAAATTAAGAGTGGAAAGTGCACAAGGGAGGACAGTCGGGCAGGCCATTCCAGAGTCAGCAGCTGGCTAGAAGCGGTCGGCATGCGCCAGAAGCACTGTGGGCCAGGGGGAGGGGAAGGTTGCGTCCCAACTGACCTCGAGCGGTCATGCCTGTCGGTGGGCCTTGCAATACAACTCAGGACGATCATAAAACAGCAGTTGTCTGATGGCATTATGACTGTGATGTTCGCAATGTGCGTGAAACTCTGACTTACAACAAATGCATCTGTTCATCCTCTTCTACCTTTTGCATGAAATCATCGATATACAGAATGATACCGAACGAAGAAGGTACACTTTGCAACTGCCAAAGAGAGCTCTGAAAGCTGGTATTTTTGTGGGTGAGTTATGACTTGAACATTTGTGCTCACTGCAGCTGCACCCAGCACAAGTGGAAACTGAAGGAAAGGACAATTCTTCCATGACAGATAAGAAAAAAGACCAAGTAACTACAAGTTACGCTATAATATTATACACTAAAACCACCAGTTACTAAATGATCAGCTCTTGCGAAAACATTGCACGACACAGACCGACGGTGCTGACGTTCTACAGCTAAGTGGCTAACAGCCCCACCACATCTTGGATGATTGTTCAGTATTAAACTGGTCGTGTTAGTGGACATTATAGCGTAACTTGTACATGTGGTTCCTTGGTTCTTTTTAGGGACCGGCGGATTCTGCTCGAAAAGGTGGCAGATTCTGGTCGAAAAGCAGTGAAATTGGCAGAACCATACAAACCTTATGGCGGGCAATTCCTCGAATTCTGCTCCATTTTTTTATCCACACACCAAACATGCATGAAACTTACCAGAAAAAGTACCGAATTCTGCCAATTTTTCTGCCGGCAGAATCCGCCGGACCCTAGTTCTTTTTCTTTTCTTTACATTTATCCTTGGCCCTTCATCCGAACTCATTCATGCACACCTGATGAGCTGGGTCGTTGTCTATAATAAAAAATAAATTTTGGCGACACGATCGTCGTGTGAAACTGCTGCTTGTTACCGCTGCTTATTGTCCATCTAAATTGTCATAGTCGAAGTACAGTTCTGTAACGGTTTTGCATGACTCCTGTTCGCATAGCTTCCTCTTTTATTGATCTTGGCTTCTTTGAGCCACGCAAGTTGTGCGGAATGTTTCTTGGCGTCCTGGAATCGTGGTTTGACCGTAATTTCCATTGGTCTTGCCAATATCGCCCTCGACATGCATGAACACCCGCCAACGTCCTTCACAGCTGAGACATTCAGCCCGTGCTTGTCTTGGTTGTGGTTACCTTCCCCTCCTATGTTATCATAAACGTAGAACCTTTCCAAGTCTGTTGTAGTGCGCATCAAAGATGTGTTGGAGCTGATAAAGGGGAAGTTAAGGCAACGCATATGGCCGATTGGTTTGCAGGCCTGCCTGCGAATCATGAGGTCCCGAGTTCAAGACCTGCGCTGGTAGCAGGGAGCGTGTAAAAGGACTTTTTACGCGTGCTGAACTGCGCCGACACCCACGGTCAACTGGGTACTCACAGCTCGGAGTGAGAATAGCAAGGATGCAGTTTACAGGGCCGTTACACGCCCGATTGGTTGAGAGACTAACCTCCTCTCCCCTGACTCACCTGTGAGGTCTGCATTCGCCACTAAGGTTAATAGGCATAGTGGTGGCCTGCGGATGCGAAGGCTAGTTTGTGTGTTTCTGAACATTCAAGCGATGCCGACGCGGATCCCGCGAATATTAAAATTATTATTATTAAGGCAAAAATCAAAATTTCACCAGTTGTAGTCTTCGGGGTGCTGAGTCAAATGGTCGTGGTCCGAGGAAGCTGAGACGCTCCCTTCCTACTTTAATCCCAATCGAACTCGCGCACTTCTGTAGTATCCCTGCCCGACCAATACGGAAGTAGTACGGAACTAATACGGAGCTTTGCCTGATGTATATTTAGTGTATCTCCGTATGTAAGCGTACGGCGTCTGCTGCATATAAGCGGCTGCGCATTTCTGTTTTGAGGAAGAAAGAGATTAGATTAGATTGGATAGCAATGAAAGCTAACTCGAAGAATAAGGATTCAGCCTCTAGGTGAGCACCGGAGAGAAAGTCAGTTATTTTGCCGCTTCTTCTTTCACGAACGATTATATCTCAGGTGTGTACCTGAAAGTAGAATAAAAGTAATTATTGTTGATTTCACCGCGCCTACCACTCGGCTACCCATTACATTGGTGGCAGCGGTGTAGTTTTAAATAAAACAACGTGATTCGACCCCAGACCCCATGGCTCAACCCGCTGCAGCTCCGTGCGACGAATCAAGATGAGAATCATGTTTCTTGCTTTCCTGGGCTTGGCCCTGTTTATTAATATTAGCCTGCAGCACAGTCAGGGTGCTAGCGTGGATCACCCTTCTCTTCGCACGGCACACACTGGAGACTCCAATGGCGATTCCAAGCGACCCGCCACCGACATGTATACTACCGGTGGTGATAGCGAAGCTGATGAGGACGACGACAGGCAGGCTGCTGCCCAAGACAAGGAGGGTATTCCCCAAGATCTGCAGCGTTTGATTTTCGCCGGCACGCAGTTGGCAGACGGCCGAACCCTGAGTGACTACAAGTTCAGCAGGAGTCCACTATTCACTTGGTACTTCGTGTCCGTAGTGGGATG